GGCTCGGGGAGATGAAAGGGCGAAGAGGGGAAGAAGGGAACAGGGTGGGAAGAGGAGAATATGGGAAGAGGGAAGAGAAGAAGGGGAAACAACTAAAATGAAGAGAGGGAAGAGCGAAACCACAAGAGGGAAGAGCGAAGATGGAAGAGGGGGAAGGAAATAGGGCAATGAGAATGGGATACTGAAAAAAGAGAAGAATGACGAGGACGGGAGGATAGGAAGATAAAGGAGGTGAACCAAGCCCCTATCGAGCACCTTCATCTGCCGCAAGATGCCGACTATCTCACCCGACTGCGACTCGTAGGTGGTGCCCAGTGGTGCCTCGCGCTGCCAGCGAGCCCGATCCTCCCCAAAACAGGCAGGAAGCCCTCCTCCTTCTCCTCCTCGTCATCATCAGAATGACGATCAGGTTATGCGACGCGACTGTTTGCACTGCTCGGGATCCAAACTGCCGATATGACGTGGCCTGTGGCAGAGATCTTTGCGTGGCGCACAGCGAACGCATGCCACTCAGAACAACGAGCCTGCCGCAACGGGGGGTGGAGGGCCATCTGTGTTGCCAAGAGGCGGCGAGCGTCGTGTGTGCAGGATGCGCGCGCGGCCGTTTGTGTACGGACATCGACGAAGGAGTTCAGACAAGAGAACGCACTGGAACCCTGGGCGACTCCCTGAGAGCGACCACTGCAAGGTGGCCCTGCTCGCATCTGATCGCGAGCATCAACGTAACGACCTCCCCGCGAGCTCATCGGCGTCGTACTCATCCGCGTCCATCCACCCGTCCCTCTGAACAGCTCCTCCTGACCGCACCACTGGACGTAGCGGTATGGCTGGCCGGGCGCTCCGCCTGAGACGTTCTCACCATGTATGGACGATAAGCTTGAAATCCTCAGCAGATACACGGATAGAGGGCGAGCGGTGCTCAAAAGGTGATTCTCGCCTCAGCGCAGCGACCACGTCCTGAAAAGTTTGAACAGCTACCAGGATGGAGTGCGAATAGTTCTCCAAATGCGGCTCTCGTCCTAACGGCGCGCACACGCAACATAGAAGCTGCCGACCGTTGAGGATGGAAGGCGGGTCGCCTCCAACATGCTGCTCTCGCCTCAGCGTGCGCACTTTCGTGCCATATTCCAACAGCTCCAAAGATAGAAGGCGTGGAAGGAATCTCCTTTTCAAAAGGGGGCTCTCGCTTGAGACGTGTTTAACCTTCACTGCAACACGTTTCACAGCTGCGTATGAAACTGCCACACGGGTGGATGGTGCCTCCTTTTCAAAATGGTGCTCCCGCGTGAGACTTTCGCATTGCGTATGGCCAGACGATTAAAACTTGTGCAACGGCTACGCAAATTCAAAGAGTGCCTATTCAAACGGGGATCTCGCTGGAGATCCTCTTGAACCGTATGAGTTGTACCCCGTGGCACGACTGATGAAAACGTGGCCTCTCGTTTAGGTGGCATGCGGGTCGGGCCCTCGTCTTTCAATGCGGGTCTCCCGTGTGGAAGAGGAACTCGTGTAGGGGCCACTGAGGAGGAAACGCGGAACGAAACCAGGCAATGCGGCACCGTCGATGCGTTCACTCTGGTCCTCGTCCGCCTCCTTTCATCCTTCTGCTCGTCCTCGTCCCCAACTTCCTCCACCTCGTGCTCATCCTCCCCTGACTGGTGCTGCTCATCCTCCTCCCGTCTTCACTCCTCATCCTTCCTTTCGGGCCCAGCTTTTCCCTTCATCCGTACATCCCCCTCCTCACCCCCCTTCTCCTGCTGTTCCTCCCCCCTCCTCCTCCTCCTCCTCCTCCTCCTCATCCTCCTCATCATCCTCCCCTTCCTCATCCTCCTCCTCCTCCTCCTTCTCCTCCCCCTCCTCCTCCTCATCATCATCGTCGTCATCATGATCCTCATCATCATCATCATCATCATCATCATCATCATCATCATCATCATCATCAGCATCATCATCATCATCATCATCATCATCATCATCATCAGCATCATCATCAGCATCAGCAGCAGCAGCAGCATCATCATCCTCATCATAACCATCTTTTGTTAACGTTGATCGGACCTCAATTGCAAGCTAATGGCGTCAGACCTCCTCCTCCTCCTCCACCTCCTACTTGTCCCTCTCCTCCTCCTCCTCCTCCTCCTCCTCCTCCTCCTCCTCCTCCTCCTCCTCCTCCTCCTCCTCCTCCTCCTCCTCCTCCTCCTCCTCCTCCTCCTCCTCCTCCTCCCTCCTCCTCCTCCTCCTCCTCCTCCTCCTCCTCCCTCCTCCTCCTCCTCCTCCTCCTCCTCTCCTCCTCCTCTTCCTCCCCCTCGTCATCATCATAATCAACATCATCAGACTCCTCATCATCGTCATCATCATAATCAGCATCGTTTTGAAGAGACAGCGCCCCGCGTTCCTCCTCTCCACTCCACTCCTCCCCCCCTCCCCCCTCCTCCTTCCTCCTCCTATCGTCACCGTCATCACCATCATCATCAACATCACAGCCGCAATCATCATCATCAATAATAATCATCGTCATCATCATCATCATCATAATCATCATCATCAGCAGCAGCAGCAGCATCATAATAATCAGCATCATCATCAGCATCACCATCATAAGCATCATCAGCATCATCATCAACATCAGCATCATCATCATCAGCATCATCAGCATCACCATCATCATCATAAACAACAACAGCATCAGCATCAGCATTGTCATCGTCATCCTCCTTGTAATGTTTAACGTTGATCGGACCTGAAGTGCAAGCTCGTGGCGTCAGACCTCCTCCTTCTCCTCCTCCTCCTCCTCCTCCTCCTCCTCCTCCTCCTCCTCCTACACCTCCTCCTCCTCCTCCAACGCCGGGAGGTCCCGAGCACCTGCGCTGCCAGCCTGGCCCGTCGGCTCCCCCCCTCCCCGTCGGCGGGCCCGCTGCCTTGCCCTGCAGCAGCGCCGCGAGCCGGCTCCACCTCTGCGGCATCTGGCGGCCGTGAGCCTCCAGCGCGCTGGCGGCGGCGAGGGCCTCGCTACGAGGGGCGCGGGAGCAGGCGGGGCGGGCGCGGGATCGTTGCTCGGTCCGTCTTCACCGCGGTCCTCCCCGTGATCCTTCCCGATCCCTCTCCCCTCCATGTCCTTCCCAATATGCGCCTCTCTCTCTCTCGTTCTCTCTCTCTCTCTCTCTCTCGCTCTCTTTCTCTCTCTCTCTCTCTCTCTCTCTCTCTCTCTCTCTCTCTCTATATATATATATATACATATATATATGACTCTGTCTCTGTCTCTGTCTGCCCGACTGTCTGTCTAACTGTCTGTTTGTCTGTCTCTGTCTGTCTCTGCCTGTCTGTGCGCCTGTCTGTCTGCCGGTCTCTATCTGTCTGTGTAAATATGTACGCATATACACAGTTTGCCACATGCTGTGAATAGATGTAGATACGTGTACACTTGGATACATATATCTATATATACACACTAGAATCATCGCGCGCGCTTCGCGCGCGCTCAAACTCTGGCTAGGCTTGATGGGCTAACGCATGGAATATAATGTTTGTCGGCATGCAATGACTCTCTTGGAGGCCCTACGTAAGCCTCGGAATCCTGTAAAAGGGGGAACTGCGGAAACGCAGAAATCACCATTTCCCGTTAAGTATTCAAAGCTTTGGGGCCCTCAAAGGCTCCCTGGGTTCTTTTCAGGGAGCTGAGGGGGCCTTCATTTTGGTTTGTTGTGCAAGAGTAGACAGGGGGGGGGGGAGCGAACTTGGAAAAAAGGGAGTTGTGGAATTTTGTTTTTTTTTGTTCAAGTTGCCGTTCCTGGGCTGTTGGTTAGAAGTTTTCTGGATGCAGGCCACTGCCTGTTGGGATTCCTCTCGTGGCACTTGTGCAAAAATTCCCCGGCCCAACGGGCCAGAGGCGTGCTAAGGTCTCCGGTAACTGGTTAACAGTATCTCTAGTTCGCGCGCGCGGGGCGGCCCCTGAGGGTCCCCGGACGAAAAGTACCCCGACCGACCCCCAGGCGATCCCCGGGAGACTCCCCCAGAGCGCTCCAGGAGCGCTCCAGGAGCGCACCAACAGGGCTCCGAGACGTCCCCGAAACCCTCAAGACGGGTCCAGATGCCCCCAAGAGGCTCCCAAGATGGTACACAAGGGTTCCGAGATGCCCCATGATCGCTCCAAGACGCCCAAGATGGCCCCCAGACGCCCCAAGAGGCCTCCAAGAGCACTCCCAAAAGGGCCCCCGGAGGCAAAATTCATTGCTTTTCCTTAGGTTTTTGAGAGATTTTGGAGCTTCCACCTTTTCGGCTCCCCGACGCCCCAAGACGGCCCAAGAGGCCCCCAAGATCGCCCCAAGAGGGCCCAAGAGGCCCCCAAGAGGGCCCCAAGATGGCCCAAGAGGGCTCGAAGACGGCCCAAGAAGCCTCCAAGACGGTCCAAGAGGGCCCCAAGAACGCCCCCAAAGGGGCCCCAGAGAGGGAACACGAAACAACATTTCGAGCCCTCGGCCCTAAGAAGCCCCTACGAGGCCCCAAGAGGCCCCTAAGAGGCCCCAAGAGGCCCCCACGAGGCCCTCAGGAGGCCCCCAAGAGTCCCCCGAGCGGCCCCAGGAGGCCCCCTGAATGCCCCCCCGAGCGCCCCAGGAGTCCCCCAAGCGGCCCCAGGAACCCCCAAAGCGCCGCATTGACACCAGGCCCTCGGGCAAACGGCAGACATGAGACTGTATGGGCCAGCGGAATGAGCGAAGCGATTAATAAGCAGGGGGTGAGCTTGACAAAAAAAAGAAGTCTAAACTTTGATTCAAATCATGGGACCATGGGATCTCGACGTCTACGGTGGTTTTACGGGCAGCCAAAAGGACACGAAGACGATCCAAAAGAGTGCCAAGACAGCGTCAGAGAGTTCAACAGCATTCCCGACAAATCCGCCGACCCCTCGGGGTCACGGCGTGTGAGATGCTTCCCCATCCCCAAACCCCTCCCCCGGGGGCCCGGTCCGGCTGGTTCGGGGGGGGGGCTGGAGGCGCATAGGTACCGGCCGTACAATTTGAGCCTCAGGAGGCCCCAAAAAGGGCCAAAAAGGTTCAGAAGGGTCCAGGAACGGTCCCAAAATTATGTTCTGAGAACATGCGGAGCATGTCGTGCGATGCGAATAGACCACGGCACACGTGAAACTCAAGAGCATAATCTTTTTGTGACGCAAAGGCTGGACCGCCAAGGCTTTCGCGAGCTGTGGCTGCACTGCCAAGGGTGGCGCTGCAGAAACGAATGTATCTCGTCGTCTTACTCCTCCATCCGCTACGCAGAAGGGATCCATCAGGTGCGATCTGGAGAGCAAAAACCGGGAGGTGCGCGAGGGTGCAAGGAACTTCAAGAGAACAAGCCGCCGAAATCAAAAAGACTACTCGGCATGAATATATAGTCGTGTGGGAGGGGCTGAAGGGTCCTGAACGACAAAATCTGGTGAAGGAGGTCAGGGGGAGAAGAGGAGAAGAAGGAGAAAGAAAAAGAGGAGGAGAAGAGCAGGGAGGAAAACGAGCAGGAGCACGGAGATGCAACAGCAAGAGGAGACCCCCTCTGGCCTTCTTGACGGTGCTGTCGAGGCCGACCAAGGAGGAATTGAAACCCCTGCCCCGGGCGGGCGGGAACTGACGGGCCGCACAATCTCAGGTTCCCGTCCTTTTCCTCTCGCCACGCCTCCCGCCTCCCCCCTTCCGACTCTCCAACTATTCTCCCCCCTCTTCCCCGCCCCCAACTCTTACAGTTCCCCCAGCCTCCCCCGCACATTCCTCCCATCCCCCTTCCCATCGCCCCCGCAGTCCTTTTTTCCTCCCACCGCTTCCTCTTCCACCACCGCCACCATCTCCATCACCATCACCATCACCTCAGCATCACCGTCGCCATCAACAGCATCATCCCCACCAGCAGAATCAATATCAGTTTAACCATCAGCAACAGCTGCACGACCATCACCACCACCACCGCCCAACATCATCATCATAACCATCATCACCGCCACCAGCATCATCATCATCATCATCATCATCATCATCATCATCAGCGTCATCGTCATCATCATCATCACCACCTCCACCATCATCACCACCATTATCAGCAACCTCACCACCATCAGCAGCAACATCATCATGATGACCACCATCACCCTTATTTCCATCAGCATCAGCATCATCATTGTCAGCATCAACGTCACCATCAGCACCACATAAGCAACACAATCATCCTCATCATGATCAACCGTAGACGTCATCCTCAGCAGCAGCAGCAGCATCGTCATAATCACCGTCACCGTTATCATCATCACCCGCACCATCACCACCGTCAACATCATCAGCACCATCGTCATCATCAGCATCACCATCAGCATCATCAGCAGCAGCAGCATAATCATCATCGCCCTCGTCATCATCTCCATCGTCATCATCGTCGTCGTCATCATCATCACCACCACCACTCATCACAAAACGCGGCCTTGATGACCAACGGGGCCGGGGTGGCGACACCACGCCCGACATGGGGCGCGGCGCCGACCGCGCGCGGGCGGGGCTGCGCGCCGCGGACCGCTGCCCCGCGCGGGGGGCCGCCCGCGCACCGCCCTCTCCCGCGCGCGGCCAACTGCGGCGCGAGGGCGGGAGAGACGCCAGCCGACGGGCGACGACCAAGGCATGGAGGCCGCTCGCCGCAGGAGCCAATAGCTGGGCCAGGCCACGCAGGGAAAGAAATGCGGCGTCCGCCGCAGATACACAGGCAACTGCGCGGCGCCGCCGCGGCAGGCACGCGCGCCGCCCCTGCGCCGCGCCTCGCCGAATCGCCCGCGCGGGCGCGGCGGGCGCGCGCGGCGCGCGGCGCGACAAGCGCGCGCGGGCGCGGCGGACGCAACCCCGCGCGACCGCCTGGCCGCGCGCCGAACGGATGCGCGAGCGGCCGCGATGACGGTTCGCGAAGGCACGGGCAGACGCTGGCCCGCGCCCCCCTCGAGCGGCGGAGCCAGGGCGCCGCGCGCCCCCAAGGCGGCGACGCGCCCAAGCTCATCGGCCGGCAAATAGCGCGGGAAGGCCGACGACCTCCAGCCTCCGGCGCGCACACTTTCGCCGACGGTGGAGCCGCCTGCTAGGAGGCCCCGTGCATGGCCACGACGCATTGCGCGCGCGGTGTACGCATACGCATTGGCTACGCCTGCTTTCGACAGCGCGTCGCGGAGGCCTTCGGCGGCCGCCCCGCTCGCGACGCCGGCGAACAGCAGGCGATCTCGGGCGCCCGAGGCAAGACGCTGCCCGATCGCATGCACTGGGCACGAGATGCGCGACGAGGCGCGCCAGCAGCGGCGCCACCACGTCGCGGGGCGCCCCTCATTCTTGCGCCGCGCGAGCCGGAGGCCACGCGCCGCCTCGGCCACGACGACCGACGCCGGGGCCGCGGCGTCGAAATCACTGAAGCTGCTGACAGCAACGACGACGGCCCTCTACGGGAGGCGGATGAAAAAAATGCGCACCAACGCGAACAACAGCGCGAGGCGGCGCCCCACCATGCCCTCGGCGGCCAAGGTGAGCACGCGCTCTATGACTTCCCGCCGCACGAATGTCTTCACGCGCGGGACAAGAGGAGCGTTTCGCGACCGCTTGCTCGACGCACTTCGCGAACGACGCATCGAGCGCCCCCGCAACAAAACCGAACGCTATGGAGACCGCGCGGAGCTGACGCACGCAATTCGCGAACGCCCGTTCGGACCTGAACAAGCCCGAGAACACTGCGAGCTCAGCCATGGGCACGGGGAACTCTCTGCCCGCCAGACCCTCGGCATTTGCGAACGCAGGCGAAGCGCGCTGCCCGCGCCGCCGAGCGACTGAGCTTTGGAACCCAGCGCCGCGCTCGCGCGCGCATGCGCGCGCCAGGACGAAGCGCCCCCCCGCGCGGCAACGACCGCCAGCGCGGCCCGGGGGCCCACTTCTGGGGGCACGAAATAACGCGCCAAGCGCGCGGCTTCGCCGAACCTAGCGGCGTTTGGCCGCGCGGCCCGGCGCGCGGCCCCCTTCGGGGGCGCGCCCAGGGCTGCCCGCGCGCTGCGTGATTGCGCAAAAGATGAGCTGGACGCCGATTCGCTGTCGGCGTCCGAAGACGAGCCGCCCTCGACTGCCACGGGGCAGGCAGGGGGCGGCGCCACGGCGCACGGCGCCGCGTCGCGCCCGCGGCTGCGCGATCTGGCGGGCGCCGCGGGACGGTTCGCAGCCGACATAAGCAGCGACGCCACGCGCCGATGCCGAGGCGACGGCCCGCCGGAGCCAGTCACGTCTGATCCAACGACGTCGCGACGGTCCGTCTGGCATTTCGCGCTGGCCGCAATCAGCAATTCGCAAGCGCCAATTAAGCGACGGGGCGCTGAGTCTGGCGCCGCCGCCCGCGCGCTCGCGAAGAACTCTGACCGCCGCGACATCGCGGGGCGTCGCTCTCTAGCGCGTGCTGCAGGGGGGGGGGGGGGGGCGGTTACGCGCGCGCGCCTGCGCAGCGACCTGGTCTCTTCGCCACTGGACATGCCGGCTCCGCCCCCTCGCGGGCCCCCGAACGAGCGCAAGCAGGCGCTGGCCCGCGCGCGGGCGCGCCTTGGCCCGCGCTGAGGCAGAACGACATTGACGCGACGCGCGCAAACAACGTTGCCCCCCCAGTCCCGAGCAAGCGTCGGCTCGCGCTTGCAGCCGCTGTCGCGGCCCGCGACCCGCTAGTGGCTGGCGACGAAGAAGGGCCGGTCGAGGGACGCCCGCGCTTCGCGCGCCTGCAGGGATGCCATGAGCTGGAAGCGCCCCGAGCAGGGCCCCCCGCGCCGAGCGCGCCCGGGACGCGGTGCGCAGACAAATTTAAATGCATGCGAAAAACTGCGGCCCGAATGCAATGGATCACGCCGCTGCGATCGAGCGCGAAGCCCGGCCCTTGCGCGAGGCCCCCTCGGCGCGCGCACGGTCGGAATGAACGCGCGCCCAGCGCCCCTCAAGCAACGGCGCAAGGTTTGCGATGCCGAGGGCCTCAGACATCATCTCCAGGGAAGAGATCCTCCGGTGATCCTCGCGCGCCTGCGCAACAGATCACGCCCTACCGCCATGCGGCAAAAGAACACGCAACCATCGAAGAGAAGTACCGCGGCGACGCGCGGGGGTTCTCCCTGGGCGTCAGCGAGGAGAGCCGCCGACCGCGCCTCCGGCGGGCGCCGCGCACGCTTGTCGACGACAGCGCGCTCGAGCACATGGCGCCACCACTCGCGCGCGCTGCGCGCGTCGGCCGACGGCCTCCGACCGCGGACGCCTCTCTGGGAGGGCGAAGAACGGCGACGCCATCGCGCGCCCCAGCCTGCCGAACATATTGCTGGGCGCCCGCGCGCGCGCCTCCGCGAGCTTGCTGGCTACTCCGCGGGGCAAGTGGCCCGCGCGGAAGGCCTCGCCGAGCCGCGCGCGCCATTTCTCCCCTTTTCCCCTTTCCGGGCAGAGGGGCGCACTGCATGCCCGACGTGTCCAACGAAGCGCTGAGCCCCGGCACCAGGAATGGGTCTCCGCACTCCAGCGCCGCCTCGGCGACCGCGCTCTCGCCGAGGAGGAGGCGCGCGAGCCGCACGAACGACTCCATCGCGCGCCGCGCGCACTCGTCGAATTCGGGACTGAAATTATCGTTGACATACCACGTACAACGAATGCGAGAAACTGGCCGACTCGGCCCCGGCCGCGGACCGAGCCCTCGCCACCGAACGGGGCGGCGCGATGGCGAGCCGCGAATGCGGCGTCTCGGCACAAGAAACAGACCACGCCGCCCACTTGTCGCCGGGGGCCAGCGGGGCGCGCCTGCACGCCGCGTCGATATCGGCTTTGAACAACGCCGGCACTTTACCCGACGTCCAGTGAAAAAGCTGCGCGGCAGCAAAGAGGTGATCGATCCCCTCGGCTCGCAGCTTCTCGACAGAGCGGCACATCGAATTAATGCCACCCACTCCTGGACAAATCGTCGACCAGGCGCAGCTTGGCCTCGCCCCCCAGGCGCCGCTGCTCGTAGGCGAAGCGCGGGGGCAAGATGGCGCGCGAGGGATCGACGTTGCTCGCAGGTGCTGGTTCCGAGACGCGCCCCGCGCGAGCCTCGGACAGCGCCTGCTCGGAAATCGCATCGGCGTGCGCGTCGGGTTTGAGGGGCGCGAGCAACGCGGCGCCGCGGTCCAGCGCCGCGCTCGCGCCCTCATGTCCTTTCTTTTTGGGCGGATTCGCGCGCCCGTGCCCGGGCGCGGGCAGGTCGCCCGAGATCCGCGCCCCCTCGCGGAACCGATTGACCCACCCGGGGTCGTGATATTGCAATTCGGAGGCGAGTTGAGAAAAAACAGTATGCACCGGTGGGGGGATCAACAATAATTATTCTTCAGAAATGAAAATTCAACAACAACAACAACAACAACAACAACAACAACAACAACAACAACAACAACAACAGCAATTACTAGCACGTGGGGACACTCCGTTCTCACCAGTGCCAGGGTTTTCATAGGAGGCGGGCAATACCCCCACTTTGTGGGGGGGCCGGTTCAAGCTCTACCAAATTTCCAAACGACTCTTCGCCACCACCCACACCCAGCTTCCCGCCCTATGACGTTCGGACACTTCACTTCGTGGCATGCGGACGACCGTGGCTACTATTCAGGGCCCCGCGGCCGACGACGACGGCGTGCGCGCGCGAAGAAAAAACGAATGTGTCCCGCATGGTATTATTTGACAGGGATGATGGCCCTGGCAGGTGCGCAACCGTTGTTGCAGAAGTTCGAAAAAGTTGCTCGCAAAAGCCCGTTTGACAGAAATGTTTAAAAAGTGTTGGGTTTCCTACGAATCCGCAAGAGCGCGCGGGATGAAATTTTGACATAAAAAAAATTGTTTTTTGATGTTTTTATGTTAAAATCGCTACGAAAACTAAGGTTTTGGAAGGATTTCGTCTTGCGCGCGCGAATGTCCACTTTACCTGATTTTTTGCAAGGGATTCTTGAAATTTGGCTATGTTAGAACAAGAAATGTCCACTTTAGCTTATTTTTTGCAAGGGAAAGCGGGGGGGAACAAAACAACCGGATCCGGACCAACCCGTTTTGCCGGAGACTTCCTCACGAAAATGATGAAAACATGGCTGCGGCCTAGGCGCGGCGAGGGGGCCGTGCACCAGGGGCCCCAACAATAATTATTCTTTAGAAGTAATAATGTTCAACAACAACAACAACAACAACAACAACAACAACAACAACAACAACAACAACAACAACAACAACAACAACAACAACAACAACAACCATAACCATAACCATAACCATAACCATAACCATAACCATAACCATAACCATAACCATAACCATAACCATAACCATAACAACAAAAAACAACAAAAACAACAACAACAAAAAATATACCCTCCTCCGCCTCCGCCTCCCCCTCCTCCTCCTCTTCCTGTTCCTCCTCCTCCTCCTCCTCCTCCTCCTCCTCCTCCTCCTCCTCCTCCTCCTCCTCCTCCTCCTCCTCCCTCCTTCCTCCTCCGCATCAGCCTCCGCCTCCGCCTTCTCCTCCTCCTCCTCCTCCTCCTCCTCCTCCTCCTCCTCCTCCTCCTTCTCCTCCTCCGCCTCCGTCTCAGCCTCCACCTCCACCTCCAACTCCTGAACACTGCTTCAAGAGAGGTGGCCCGACCCCAGCCCGCCCCATGAACTGCTCGTGCGCCTGGGAGTCGGCCAGCGTCTGGTCGGCACCAATCTCTCCCAGGACCGCGATGGCCTCTGAAGGCCAGGAAAGGGGACAGGGGACAGTGAGAAGGAAAAGAAGAAGGAAAGGGAGGGATAGGAGGAGGAATGGAAGATGATGAGGACAGGAGCATCAGCAGGAGAGGAAACAGCGGGGGAGATGAATTACCCCGTGACGTACCCAACCCATGTGTATCAATGGAAACGAGGAGTTGGCCGAAACTTGTATGGACAATCAACTTGATGTGTAAGCTACTTGGGAGGCGTCACTGTGCTGGGCCCCGCAAGCAGGCCTCGAAAGTGGCGACAGTTTCACAGATCGCAGCCCCCCAGGGATGGCGAGGTCCCATTTGAGTCTGCGTGTGGCGTCACTGTGCTGGGCCCCCCAGCAGGCCTCGAAAGTGGCGACAGATTCACAGATCGCAGCCCCCCAGGGATGGCGAGGTCTAATTTGAATCTGCGTGTGGGTACCCACTGTGCTGTGCCCCTCAGCAGCCCTCGAAAGTGGCGACAGTTTCACAGATCGCAGCCCCCCAGGGATGGCGAGGTCTAATTTGAGTCTGCGGTGAGTACCCACTGTGCTGGGCCCCCCAGCAGCCCTCGAAAGTGGCGACAGTTTCACAGATCGCAGCCCCCCAGGGATGGCGAGGTCCAATTTGAGTCTGCGGTGAGTACCCACTGTGCTGGGCCCCCCAGCAGGCCTCGAAAGTGGCGACAGTTTCACAGATCGCAGCCCCCCAGGGATGGCGAGGTCTAATTTGAATCTGCGGTGAGTGCCCACTGTGCTGGGCCCCCCAGCAGCCCTCGAAAGTGGCGACAGTTTCACAGATCGCAGCCCCCCAGGGATGGCGAGGTCTAATTTGAGTCAGTACCCACTGTGCTGGGCCCCTCAGCAGCCCTCGAAAGTGGCGACAGTTTCACAGATCGCAGCCCCCCAGGGATGGCGAGGTCCCATTTTGAGTCTGCGGTGAGTACCCACTGTGCTGGGCCCCTCAGCAGCCTCGAAAGTGGCGACAGTTTCACAGATCGCAGCCCCCCAGGGATGGCGAGGTCCCATTTGAGTCTGCGGTGAGTACCCACTGTGCTGGGCCCCTCAGCAGCCCTCGAAAGTGGCGACAGTTTCACAGATCGCAGCCCCCCAGGGATGGCGAGGTCCCATTTGAGTCTGCGGTGAGTACCCACTGTGCTGGACCCCTCAGCAGCCCTCGAAAGTGGCGACAGTTTCAAAGATCGCAGCCCCCCAGGTCCCATTTGAGTCTGCGGTGAGTACCCACTGTGCTGGGCGCTCGAAAGTAGCGACAGTTTCACAGATCGCAGCCCCCCAGGGATGGCGAGGTCCCATTTGAGTCTGCGGTGAGTACCCACTGTGCTGGCCCCCCCGGCAGGCCTCGAAAGTGGCGACAGTTCCACAGATCGCGGCCCCCCAGGGATGGCGAGGTCCAATTTGAGTCTGCGGTGAGTACCCACTGTGCTGTGCCCCTCAGCAGCCCTCGAAAGTGGCGACAGTTTCACAGATCGCAGCCCCCCCAGGGATGGCGAGGTCGAATCTGAATCTGCGGTGAGTGCCCACTGTGCTGGGCCCCTCAGCAGCCCTCGAAAGTGGCGACAGGTTCACAGATCGCAGCCCCCCAAGGATGGCGAGGTCTAGTTTGAGTCTGCGGTGAGTACCCACTGTGCTGGGCCCCTCAGCAGGCCTCGAGAGTGGCGACGGTTTCACAGATCGCAGTCCCCCAGGGATGGCGAGGTCCCATGTGAGTCTGCGGTGAGTACCCACTGCGCTGGGCCCCCCAGCAAGCCTCGAAAGTGGCGACAGTTTCACAGATCGCGGCCCCCCAGGGATGGCGAGGTCTCATTTGAGTCTGCGGTGAGTACCCACTGTGCTGGGCCCCCCAGCAGGCCTCGAAAGTGGCGACAGTTCCACAGATCGCAGCCCCCCAGGGATGGCGAGGTCCCATTTGAGTCTGCGGTGAGTACCCACTGTGCTGGGCCCCCCAGCAGCCCTCGAAAGTGGCGACAGTTTCGCAGATCGCAGCCCCCCAGGGATAGCGAGGTCAAAGGCAGGGGGGAAGAGAGGGACGGGAGGGGGTGGGAAGGAGACGCGCGAGCAGTGCTCTATTCAAAACGAGAATCCAACGCAGGAGGGTTGGGAAGAAAAAGGATCAGATGGGGAGCAGGAGGTGGAGAGGAAAGATTATCATAACCAGAAGGAAAAGGAAGCCAAGGAGGAAGAAGATGAGGATGAGCAGAAGCAAGAGGAAGTGGTGGGGCAGGAGAAGGGCGGAAGGGCAAGGCCGCGGACGAGGAGGACGAGGAGGAAGATACGTAGCACCCCGCAGTTGCGGATAAGAGTCAGGGGGCGGCGGGGACGTCGGCAGTCTGCGAGGCTTTGAAGAAGCCCGCCGCAGGCGCAAAAATTTTCAAGCGATACAACCAGCCCGCCGCAGGCGCCGATGTTTTGTTAAAACAGTGTGGGTGGGTCGCGGGTTGGGTCGCAGGTGGGTCGCGGGTGGGTCGACGGTGGGTCGCGGCTGGGTCGACGGTGGGTCGCGGGTGGGTTGCGAGCGGGTCGCGGGGTGGGTCGCGGCTGGGTCGCGGTTGGGTCGCGGGGTGGGTCGCGGCGGGGTCGCGAGGTGGGTCGCGGGTGGGTCGCGGGCTGGATCGCGGGGGGGACGACGACAACAACAACAACAACAACAACAACAAGCAGAATCCTCACCACGGATCCGCACTTCAGCCACGCACCCAGGGGCAAGTAATGACCGTTCGTTCGGCCCCCTCACTCTGATATAGATACACTTTATACCTAAGTACGTTTGCAAAACTATCAACGGTGCAGGCGGCCAAACCGGAGGAGCACGAGGACAAAGAGGCAAAGGGGGGGAGGAGAGCGGCTGTTCGAGTTGGGACACCTCCCGCCTTCCTGGGACGCTCATGTAACGTGCGGCAACAGTGGTTCGATAGTTGACACATGAACTGGGGCTAGATCGTAATGTGATATGGGTCTACCTGTGGGTTACACTGCGCTCTACTGTTCTCAAGGCCGCCGCGGCATCAATCCCAAATAGATGACGTGAACATTGTTTGCTTGTTGCCGCATCTGCGCTCTCGAGCGTGCGCGCACCGTCATCGTCGCTTTCGGCGAATGCGTGCTGCCTGCGAGGTGCCGCAAGCCGCGACGCGCCGCTGCAAGCGGCGCCAGCAGCAAAGAGAGCCGACCACCTCCCCCTCCCGAGCCGCTGCGCCGCTGGGGGGCCTCCGCTGGGGAGGCTCGTGCCGCTGGGGACGATGCGCCGAATAGAATGGCTGTTTCTCGATGTTGCCAGGGGTTGGCCCTGCAGGACGCTGCGAACCTGAAGGTGCAAGCCGACAAGCAGTGCATACAATCGCAGGGGCAGGAGTGTGCCAAGTTTTAAGTCGGGCGTGTCCCCCTACAGGGGGATCTTCGACGAAAAATATGGGGGAAAAAAACACCCCAAAAATATCAACAACAACAAAAAAAACATAAATAGTCTGGGAACTATTTTTTGAGTATTGTTTGACCTTTTGGGGGTATGCTTGGTGTTTGTTATTTTTCGTCGAAAATCCCCCTGTAGGGGGACAGGCCCGACTTAAGCCAAGCTCCCGTCGCGGCCCCGCGGGCCCCTCCCGCGCCGCTGTGCCGCTGGGCAGGCGCGCGACGCCGGGGAGGCTCGGGGCGGCGACGGCTCCCATGACAGACAGAGCCCTCCCGGCCTCTAGACGAGGATCGGCGATCGATCCTCGATCCTCGATCCTCATCCTCGATCGATCGATCCTCGATCCTCGATCCTCGATCCTCGATCCTCGATCCTCGATCGATCGATCGATCATCGGTCGATCGATCGATCCTCGATCCCATGACAGAGCCTTCCCAGCCTCCAGACGAGGATCGATCGCGGATCGATCGATCGATCCTCGATCCTCATCTGCACACCCCAGGCGACGCAGACGCTGCCGCCCGCGCCAGCGAGCATCGGTCACCGCGCGCGCTCCGGGAGGGTTCTGCCCTCGGCATTCCTCTGGACTCCCCTGGTGATATCCAGCACGCGACCGTGAAGACACCATGAGTCACTCGTGTCTGCCATCGACGTTGCTTCGAGCATCGTGTGAAGATCGGTCTGAATTTTGTTTCTGACAAGACAATTACGCACTCGGTTCAGCACAGGCGGGAGAGAAAGGTTTGCAGCAGCACTTCCCCACCTCCGCAGCCGTGTGCCTCAGATGCCCCACAGAAGGCCGTGCTAGCAGCACGCGTTGTGCTCCGCACACGCGTGAAATCCAGGACAAGAGTTACCGTGAAGATATCATGATTCACCTGTGTCCCCGCCCCGCTCCCCCCTCCCCACCAGTATGAAGAGGCTGTCGCGACATCACCGCCCTGGCAAGCAGACGCGCCTGTGCCCGCTGTCTCGCGTAGGTGCAACCCTGCAGGACCCCTGAAGTGCAGACGCGAAAGAACGTCCAGAGATACAACTGTAGGCTTGCGCGACGGCACAGGGCTGGTCCCGGCCTCGGGCTCGTGGAAGGCCCGAGCGGAGCGCTCTGCTGCGTGCTGGCACGCTCGGGCGGCAAGCGACGCTCGGCCTTGCCGCGCCGCGGCCCTCGGGCCGGACCCCGAGACTCGCAGGCGCTCGGCTTCGCAGCCGATGTGCTTTGGCGCGGGCTGCCTTCATCATCGCGGGTGAGCGTGAGGGCGGGCGCAGTGCGCGGGCCAGGCGGAGCCTGGCTCACGTGACTTCGGCACGCCCCGCTGAGGCCATCGGGTCGCCCGCGCCCCCACTGGTCCCAACGGGGAAATCGGGGAGATGCAGTCGAGAAGCACGGGCTCGGTCCTCCGGATGCCGCGCAGGATGGAGAGCGCAGTGCCACGGTCGATCCGGACGGTGAGAGATCCTCGCTCGGGCTGGCAGGCTCGGGCTCCGCGGCATCCTCGGGCATCTGGTGGCTCGGGGAGATATCGTGCGCGGAGGTGTGGGCCCTGCTGATGCGCTTCGCGCACTGGAGTCCTTGCGCGGTCCCGTACACCCCGCTCGCTGAGCTGTTCTGGATCTTTGAGTGGGTGCACCTCGCGCTATTATCTGTCCTCCAACCGGGCGGCTGCTCGTAACCATGTTCACATTGCGGTGGATGATAAAAAATGATCAAAGTCGTCGTCGTCGTCGTATTATTATTCTTCTTCTTATTCTTCTTCTTCTTCTTATTATTATTATTCTTCTTCTTATTATTATTATGTTTCTTAGTCTTATTCTTATTATTCTTATAGTTATTCTTATTATTATTATTATTATTATTCTTCTTATTCTTATTATTATGCTTCTTCTTATTATTGTTATTAATATTATTATTCTTATTCTTATTATTATTATTCTTCTTATTATTATTCTTCTTATTCCTCTTCATCATCATCATCATCATCATCAGCAGCATCATCATCATCATCATCATCATCATCATCATCACCATCACCATCATCATCATCATCATCATCATCATCATCATCATCATTGTCATCACCATCATCATCATCATCATCATCAGCATCAGCATCATCATCATCAGCATCAGCATCAGCAGCATCATCATCATCAGCAGCATCAGCATCTGCATCTGCATCATCATCATCATCATCATCATCAGCATCAACATCGTCTTCATTATCATCATCCGCATAATCATCATCATCATCATCATCATCATCATCACCATCATCATCGCCATCATCGTCATCATGACTATCACAATCAGCATCCTGATCATCATCATCATCATAATCATCCTCATTATCATCATCATCATCATCATCATCATCATCATCATCAACATCATCATCATCATCGGCATCGGCATCGGCATCGTCATCAGCATGATATCCACCATCATCGTCATCATCATAACCCTCATCATCACCAGAAGCAGCATCATCATGACCATCACCATCACCATCGCCATCACCATCATCATCATCATCATCATCATCACCATCACCATCACCATCACCATCACCATCACCACTATCCTCATAACCATCACCATCACCATCATCATCACCACCACCGCCATCATCATCATCAACAACATCCTCATCCTCGTCTTCGTCATCCATCCTGATCCCCCGCCTCCGACTCTTCATCCTCCCTCCTCATCATCCTCATCATGACCAGCACCATCCTCATCACCATCATCATCATCAGCATCAGCAGCATCAGAATCTCCTTGATTGTCTTCATCATCACCATCTTCGCCATCATCATCATCATCAGCATCATCATCATCATCAACATCATCATAATCATCATCATCATCATCATCATCGCCATCAGCAGCAGTCGCACCATTATCCTCAGATTCATCGCCGTCACCGCCAGCATCATCATAATCATCAGAATAGACACGGCCAGCATCATAACCGCGTGCATCAACAGCAGACGCACTATCGGCATCAGTCATCGCCATCATCTTCATAATCACCCTCATCGTCAAAGTCATCAACATCATCAATACTGTCATCGTCAGCATTATCATCGTGGCCAGCATCATCATCTGCAGCAGCATCATCACCATCATTAGTATCATCATCAGCATCATCATCATCAGGATCATCGTCATCATCAGCAGCAGCAGCACCAGCATGATCATCACCATTGTCATCATTGTCACCATCACCATTACAAGCATCAGGGTTCTCGTAATACTCAAAAGCTTCATCAGCAGCAGCATCAACATCTTCATCCTCTTCCTCATCCGCATCCTCATCCTCATCATCAGCATCATCATCAGCAGCATCAGCATCTATATCATCAACATCATGATCCTGTTCAGTATCAGCATCATCACCATCATCACCATCAACAGCAGCAGCATCACCATCATTATCATTAGTGTCATCATCATTCTCGCCATCGTCGTCATTATCGCCGTCATCATCGTCCTGATCCTCCTCCGTATCCTCCTCACCCTCATCAGCCTTCTCTTCCTCCGTCTTCCCTCCTCCCCTTCCTCTCATTCCTTGCGCACCTGCTCCAACATAGGGATGGACTGGGTCATGTCCGTCTCGAACTTGGTGAATTCCTCCGCCTCCTGCGAAGGGATACTACTGGCAGAGGGCGCACGACGGGCGAGGGCGGATGTGCAGGTACGGCAGGAGCAGCAGCAGGAGAAGCAGCAGCAGCAGCAGGACGAGGAAAACCAGCAGGAGCGAAAGGAACAGCAGCAGGAGCCAGGAGGATGGGACATGAGCCGGAGACGGAGGAGGAACAATCGTGCACTCTTCTCTTTCAGCGGCTCTCTTCGCGACACGTGCAAGCCGCCATTTTCTAGCCCCGCAAGAGTGAGGAGACAGAAGCAGGAGGAGACAGGAGACAAGAACGGGGGGAGGCAGGAGACGCCGGGGCATCAACAGCGGAAGCAGCGCCCTCGCGAGGGAGGAGGGCGAGGGGCGCGTCGTCCTTGTCCCGCAGCTCGTTGGCGGTCTGCACAGCCTCGGGCGGGAAGACACCGGCAGCGAGCAGCGGGGGGCAGGCAGCGGGGCGGCTCGGGCCGAGCGCACACGCGCGCTGGGCCGCGGGAGCCCACAAGCACTCGCGCACAGACGAAGTATTCGGCCTGACTCGGTCGGCACCCTCTGGAGCGGGAAGACACTGGCGGCAAGCAGCGGGGAGGGGGGGCAGGGGGCCATGTCAGGCCAGGTCACGCGCGAGGCTGCAGCAGCCTACGAGCACGCGCCTGCTGACAAAGGCTTCGACTCGACTCGACTGGCCCCCTGCACTCTCAGGCCAGCCCCGATGAGGGGGAGATGCGGCATCAAGACAAAAACGTAGCCAAGGGGTGGTCGATCCTCCACGCGCGGTGGCAAGCCACACCAGCCTTAACAAAGAGCCCCGATTCTGGGCTGCCAGTGACGAGCCGCGAGTAAGGATCGAGGCATCCCCTTCGCCGAACTTGCTCGAGGTGCCAGGCCTGGAGCCCCCGAGAGGCGGGAAGGGGCAGAGCTGGGCCCCCTCCCGAGCCAGGGGGGGGGGCCTTGGGCGAGGGCCCCGCGCGCCTGCTGGCTCTCGTCCATCGCCTGCTTCAGCTCGGCGGCCTCGGTGCTGGTGGCGCCGTTCTCGCCCTTGGGGGGGGGAGGCGATGCTTGTTTTCTGTACTTAGTTCGAGCTGTAGGCGAGCTACGGAGCTGAGATGCACAAGAATCGACAGGGAATTATGAAAAGCGCCAGTCTGAAGTATCTAGACGCCTCAGATCTGTCTGCTACGGCCGAAACACTACCTGCACCCTTTAATTTTCATTATGGGGGCGCGGAGGCGCCGGGCTCGCCGCCGGCCCGGACCCGCAGGGCAGGGGAGGGCGAGGAAGATCGCGGATCCAGACCCAGAAGGCGTCTGTGGCATTCGGGGGGCCTCCGCGGGGCGCCCTCGTCGGCACGGCTGGGTCCGCCCCGAGATTCTGCAGACGTCCGTCAGTCGTTTTTTGAAGAGGAGGAGGAGGAGAGGAGGAGGAGGAGGAGGAGGAGGAGGAGGAGGAGGAGGAGGAGAAGGAGCAGGAGGAGCAGGAGGAGCAGAAGGAGCAGGAGGAGCAGGAGGAGGAGGGGAAACAGAAGAGGCCTATATCTCCGGCGTCACGACACAATCGCGTCGTCCAATTGTCATCAGTTTGGGCTTCAGGCCGTCCGCTGCTGGCCCTGGAGCCATCTGGAAAAGACAGGCTCCCCTCCTCCTCCTTCTCCTCCTCCTCCTCCTTCTTCTCCTCCTCCTCCTCCTCCTCCTCCTCCTTCCTTTCACCTCCTCCTCCCCCTCCTCCTCTTCCTCCTCCTCCTCCGACTCCTCCTCCGACTCCTCCTCCTCCATCCTCCATCCTCCCATCCTCCGCCCCACATCCCATCCTCATCCTGATCATCCTCATCATCCTCTTTCATCACATATGCCTCCTCATCCTCCCAAACTCCCATCGCACTTCCAGGTAATATCCTCCTCCTTCCCGTACAATTCCTCGTCTTTGTACTAAGCATGTTCCTCCTTCTTCTCCTCCTCCTCCTTCTCCCCTCCTCCTCTTTCTCCTCATCTTCTTCCTCTTCTTCCTCCTCCTCCTCCTTCTCCTCCCCCTCCCCTCCCTCCCTCCCTCCTCCTCCTCCTCCTCCTCATCCTCCTCCTCCTCCTCTTCCGCCTCCTCCTCTTCATCCTCCTCCTCCTCCTCCTCCCCCTCCTTCTCCTCCGCTTCTTCTTCGTCTTAAAATGATCAGTAGTCTGGGTATTATCATTAGTATTGGTATTAATAATCGTATTAGTAGTATTATTTGTATTCTTGATATGATTATTCTTCTCCGTATTAGAATTAGTCGTATGATTATGTGTTTCCTCTTCTTGCTAGTGTTGTCTTATTCCTCTTAGTAGTATTATTCGTAGCAATATTATTCTTATTAGTATTATTGGTAGTATTATTGTTACCTCCTCCTCCTCCTCCGCCTCCTCCTCCTCCTCCTCTTCCTCCTCCTCCTCCTCCTCCTACTCCTCCTCCTCCTCCTCCCCCTCCTCCTCCCCCTCCCCGTCCTCCTCCCCCTCCCCCT